ACTCCACTGGCCTCGCTCCGTTCCCACGGCTCTCGGCCCCGCCCCCACTCGTCACATACTGAATCTTTTTTTTTTTGTGGGTGAGATGAATTAATGCATATTCATATTTATTTTAGAACTACAGTAACATCTGATTTCTCTCAACATGGAGACCGGAGCTGTCAATCAATAAATTGAAAAAAAAAAGTAACTTGCATTACTTATTTGAAAACGTAACTCAGATATTCTCTTGAAAATTAAAAAGTAATGCGTTACTTTACTAGTTACTTGAAAAAAGTAATCTGATTATGTAACTCACGTTACTTGTAATGAGTTACCCCCAACACTGAGTATCATTTAAATAATTACTGCTAGGATATTTCATTTTTCCTAGACTATTTTGAAGTCTTTGAGGCATTGTGTTTTTGTTCATTTTAGTGTTTTAATGTTTATAGTTTTAGTCTGCCACCCTAGAAACCAGCTAGAACATCCTAGAAACTCCTTAACACAGTAACCAGGCTAGGGCTGCAACAGATGAATATTTTGATAATCGATTAATTTTAAGATTATTAGAATGATTAATCGACTAAACACAGATTATTTCATTTTTATTCAGCTTTTGTAATTCATTAAAATATTGAGTAATACATATTCTATACATATGCATATACACATAGAGCTGATTGCAGATCTGATGTAAACATCCACATCGCTAAGATCAGATGCTTTCTTAACTGCTGCTTTCTCACCACTGTCATATTTGTTGTGTGTTTATTTTGTTCAGCAGCGTCGGGAAAGTAAACGACTAACAGTAAACGACTGCTTGTTTATATCAAACCTCTTTTTACCCCCAAACGAAGAATGAAAAAGAACTTCACCACATGACAGCATTTCCTGTTTTTAGTTTTATAAAACTTTCCCAAACGCCGCCTCTCCTTCTTCTTCTTTTGGTTTTAATGATGGCTGGCAAACCAACTTATAGGAGCATTGCTGACACCTACTGGACTGGAGTGTGGACAGAAGATTGACAGGAATAAACCCACACACTAAATTCTCTCAATTAACCCAGTATTCCTCAGATTTATTAGGAGACTACACACTTTTCTCTGATGTTTTCCAAGCAAATTCTTTAGTGGCATGTTTTGTTTTCCAATTTGCATCTCTCACTCTCATATATTTTGCAGTCTAATAGAATGCATGGTAGCACTTCATTTTAAGGGCCAATTCTCACTATTAACTAGTTGCTCATTAGCATGCCTATTACTAGCATGTTGGCTGTTAGTTAGTACTTATAAAGCCTTTATCAATGCCTTATTCTGCATGACCATATTCTAGATCCCTTATTCATGCCCCATACCTAAACTTAATAATTACCTTACTAACTATTAATAAGCAGTAAATTAGGAGCTTATTGAGGGAAAACTCTAATAGTGACTATGTGTTTTACAGTTTGTTGTGCATTGCAGAAGGTGCAAATTCCAGTGGGGTGTTTTCCTATTCTTTGTAACATTCGATTTAATCCAGCGTGGCTTATTCTACGACGTTTAATTTTCCTCTCTTCCTTTGGGTTCCTGTCCTGCCTCATACTCATGCCTACATGTTTTTGTATACTGTATAGATGTCGCCCTGTGTCTGCTATGTCCCAATATTCCTGCCATATTTTGTGTGTATGACCCTTTCTAATAGTTTTGGTACTTGTATATCAACTATTTCATGTTTTATTGATCCTTTTCTTAAAAGATCCACAGTCTTTCCACCCCTACATGGGAAGGAACCTTTCCCAAACTCTACTGGTTCGGCTTCGTTTGTACATAGCGCTGTGTCTTCTTAATTGGATGGGAAGACTGAATTACAATCTTGCTCTACAGCGCCACACTGGTCAAACCATATTATTGCAGGCCCTTACATTAGGCCATATGAGATCAAACGACTTCTCGACAACAAAAATATTTGTCGACAGGGGCTCATAAATGATTTAATTATTTGGTTGGAATGAGTTTAGTAATTTAATGAGAGCTGTATCCATGTTTGGGTCAACAATCCATGTCATCATCCATGTCAGTCAAAAATGCTCTTGACTCACACACCCATTTGAAAACATGTTCGGCCTGTTTGTTTGAAAACCCACTGACACACTTAACACCCGACCGGACAATTTGAGCTTGTGTTTATGGTTTTCAACCACAAGGGAGGTCATAAAAACCGCTTTCCGAGGCCGTGCTGTCACATTCTTATGATATTTGCCAGGCTAATCTAATTGATGAAACATTTAGAGAAATGTCAGGCTGGGGTGAGATCGTACATTTGGCCGTCCAAAAGGATGAAAGACATTAATTGGAGCCAAAGTGTGCCACCTTCCCCTGGGAAACGTCAAATCATCTTACATTCACTCGCATTCTACTGCATTGCACAGATATGACGTGCAGCATATTTCACGTCTTTTGACTTGAAACAATTTGATGTAGGTCACAAAAAAGGCAGCCGTGAAGTCCAAAAGTGAACATTCTGCCAGACGTGTGAGAACGAGAGAAGAGAGTAAATCAATCTATCTGACACCTTTACTTCCCGCCCGTGCATATATTCACTGGCGTGCACGTCTCAAATCTTATTCTGAAAGGGTGATGATATTTACATTTCTCACTTTTGATGTTCTTTCCTAGGACCGAACTTGCCTACCCCTGGTCTAGATTCTCGAGTTTCAGATTTCGAATTTCCATATTAAGGAGCACAACTTGCATAGACCCTGTGAACACTTGTCGGATCACCCAACTTGGATATTAATATCATTGTCCATTAAAGTCAAAAATTGCAGAAATGAGTATCTGCTACAAAATTAATAAAATGGAATCTTTTGTTCTTTATTTCAGGGATTCTGAAACTTTTTTTGTCAGCCGAACCCCTTTGACTTAAAATAATTACTTGAAAAAAACAAACAAAAAAAGTGTATAAACAATTTTTTTTCACTCAAAAATTGCTAGTAAATGTCACAAAGAATAGTAATTGCAAAGAAATGACAAGTAACACAATGAATAACATGAAATTTTGAAGTAGAAATGCTGAAATAGTATTTTCTTGTAAAACATACTCCAGTGATCTTTATTTAATTTACAACTTCGATTTTTTTTTTTTACATGGAAGTACTTTCATGATTTTAAGTTAATATTTAAATAATTTATCAACACACTTGCATGTTCATGGTTTGTTTTCTGATGTCAGTTAACGGTCACGTATATGGAAGCATGTTTCCTCCACATTATTAAAAAAATAATAATAATTTAATTACGAATTTTTGAATTGAGAAGAAGAAGATAATTGCGATGTTTTATCTCACAATTCTGAAATTTTTTTCTCAGATTTCTATTCCCACATCTGGCAATTCTGAGTTTATGTCATGCAATTTTTTACTTTTTTCTCAAAATTGCGAGAAAAAAAGTCAGAATTGTGAGATAAAACATCGCAATTATCATCTTCTTCTTTTTTTTTTATCCCATGGCAGAAACAAGCTTCCATATCACATGACGTGCAAGTTACAATTAAATATTTTTTAGACCCCAAGACAGATATGAATATCATTGTCCAAGTCAAAAATAGCACAAAAGAGTGTAATTTCCCCATCTCTTATGTTTTACTCTTCAGGTGGAGCGAGGTTTCCGCACGGTGCATATGGAAGGGGTAGAGTTAAAGCACATGGGGCAGCAGTCTATGGGTCACTACCCCATCCACTTCCATATGAACGGGGACGTGGATGAGAAGGGAGGCTACAACCCACCAACTTACGTGAAAGACCTGTCCATTCATCACACCTTCTCCCGATGCGTCACCATCCACGGCACCAACGGGCTGCTGGTGAGTTTCACGTGCAGAGGTTATGTGTGCTTGGAGACATCCATAATGAGTCTCTGCTGCAAAATTAATAGAATGGAATCTTTAGTTCTTGATTTTGATAAAATGGAATCTTTTATTTATCGTTCCCTTCATTTTCACACAGCGCTGACATAGAACTACTGGGACACAATATTTACTCAAAATTCACTGAATATCTAAACATCCATAAAACAAGATACAATTATTTGAGAAACAAAATATCATAAGATAATAAGATTTTTCAGACAATTTATCTTGATTTAAGTTTTTCGTAACCCAGTGACAAATAGTTTTTTCCTTTTGCTTTAAGCATAAAGTAATCTAGTGAGCTGGCAAACTATTTGCCAATGAAGTATGAAAAATAGATCACATTAACGGTGAATACTATTGGATGGAAAAGTAGTTTAAGACAGGTTAAAAAGTTAACAATGTGAATAGATGGATTTGTATAAATATCTAAACACCATTAAAACGAGATAAATTTAGATGAAAAGCAAATTTGAACATTTTTATTTACATGAATATCTTAAAATCCTTGATAAATGTACTTGAGAAGAAAACGTTTTTTTTTTAATTGTTTAAATATCTAAAAATCCTTAAATCACGATAAATTTACTTGAGAAGCTCATTTTAATTTGACTGTTTTTGTTTTGTATCAGTATCTAAAAATTCTTAAAACAAGATCAATTTACTTGAGAAGCAAAATTTTAACAATGTTTTTATCTGTATAAATGTAAAATACTTCAAACAAGATACATTTTCTTAAGAAGAAGAAAAAAATTAAGATAATGAAACTTTCAGGGTTTTTAGAGAACATATTTTGAATTGAGTTTTTCTGTAACCCTTTTACATAACCAAGACTAGTAGTTTAAGACAGGCTAAAAGCAGAAAGCCTGAAAAGATGAATCCTGAAAAACTTCTACAATCTTCAATATGGCTCAATGCCTTCCTGCAGTAGCTGCTCCTCCATTCTTAGTGATCTCTAGCTGTCAATCATCTGTCTGATTTTGATTGACATGCCACACCCCTGCGCTCTTTGCAAGACTTAAATTGAAGCTTTATGGATGGAAAACAGGCAAGTCAGGAAACTAAACCTTGTAGTCAAAACCTTGTAATTGACAAACTAAGCTTTCTGGTTTACACTTGCATGATATCCAGGTGTTTTGCTGATACTGATGTCAACCAGCAGATTTTCCAGTATTGTTTACATCATAGGGGAGCTGAAAAGAGTACTTGGCTTCTTTTGACTCTATCTAGTTAAATGAAATATGCTTTGTCAGAGCTCAACAGAACAGGAATATGAATCTGTCATTTATTGCATTGCAGTCCGTCCTTGGCTTATTTTCTAAAAAGTGCGGAGCTGCTGTTCAAACACTTCTCAAAGATGCAGGAGCGCTGCTGTAAGCTGCTTTATTTTCTTCACAGGAGACGGGGTGAAAGGTTACAGTACAGCAAAGCCACATTATTTGTTCGTGATAGCATGCTACGATTTTATTTTGGAGCCAGCGGGGGGGCCGCACCAACATCAGAGCTCTGACGTGAATAACTCTTTGACGAGGGTTGCCTCTAATACGTTTAAGAAGGCTAAATGTTCTTCTGCCCAGCGGTAGTTGTATTACACACTGAGGGAGTTTGCAATTCACCTATTTCTTTGAAAGGATTAATGGAATTGCTTTCACTCCCAAAAACCGTGTTTGTTTGCCAGCTCTCACTGAGCGGATGATGTTTCCATCAGCGTTGAATGTGGTGGCAAAAAGTGCAGCATTTCAGCTTCACCTGAGGCTTTTAGAAATATGTATTCACAGCAGGTGCTGGAAAAGAGAAGCTGGCATCTTTCTTTTATGGAAACATCTTGTAGTGTTTTTTTATGTTGAGTTGTTGGTTACCATGAGCACTGCATGAAGGAATAGAAAATATGAGGATTTTGTCATGGTTTACTCACCTTAATGTTTGTTTCTTTTGTGACATGCAAAAGGAAATGTTGGATGGATGTCCAAACTTTGTGGATGGGGTTTTAAACTGACACACTTCAAAAAAGCTAAATAAAAGTTGTCCATACGACTTGTGCGCTATATTGCGGCGGTCAAAAAAAAATTTTTCTCTCAATGAAATGTATGTACTATATTTTAGTTTTGTTAATGTTTTTATGTAATATTTTGTATTTTTAGGGGATTTTATGTTACTAAATTATATTTATGGAATAGTTATGATCCATTTATTACCTGTTAACCACTTTGTAAGCGTAGACCTGAAAATACAATTTCCGGCTTAAACTGTAGTAAATTGTAAATGCTTTTAAGTTATAGAAGTTTAATTTTATTATTATGAAAAATGCACAAAATAATATTTTTACATTTTTGGAAATCTATATTTCCAAAACATGTTTTAGTCTAAAATTATGTGAAAATCAAAGCCACAAATCTAAAGATGTTGTGTTCCAAATTTCAGGTTGATATCTCAAAAAAATTGCTGCCAGTAAGATTTTGTTTGGGCACAATACCAAACATTTCCACTAGATGAAATTCACTTCCCATTCATTTCCAATGCGGCCATTTTTGACTGCGAATAGTACAAGTGTGACAGGTATTTTTTTCGGGACCATTTAACCCTTTTTGTGTATGTGTTCACATAGCAAGTGCCAAAACCTTTACCAAGTTTTGTACCATTCAGATGACGTAAAACATTCTAAAAAACAAAACATATATATACGTGTTCAGTAAACCATTTAAAAAAAAAAGAAATTTCCCCCTCCTGTACCGAAATCATACCGAACCGTGACGTTAAAACCGAGGTACGTACCGAACTGTCATATTTGTGTACCGTTACACCCCTAATATATATATATATATATATATGTTTTTTTATTTTGGTTAAAAATGGCCGAACAGCACCATAGGGTTAAGTCTTCTAAAGCCATTTGTCACTGAAAATATTCACATTGATTCTGATTCATTTTAAGAGTAAATGATGATAATAGAAAAAAGATCTGCACACTGTTATTCTCCCTTTATTCAAAAAAGTTAAAAATAGCAAAGACCTTCGTCAGGCAAACACGCAGGTCTTTGACCGAAACGTTGCTATTTTTAACTTTTTTGAATAAAGGGAGAATAACAGTGTGCAGATCTTTTTTCTATTTTTTGTTGTACCTTTTGATCTTGCACCTGGCCAAGACTTTTTTGGATGTGCGTACTTTGACCTCTTTCTTTAAGAGTAAATGATGAGTCATTGGGTTTCTTTTAGTTAGTTTTCACTTGTCTTTATGTGAAGTTTCCATTATTTGCCCTCAGGACAGTCGCTAAAAACCTCATCTTCTGTCTTCTAATGTTCTTCATTTCTCTGTAGGTGAAGGATGTTGTCGGCTATGACACTTTAGGACATTGTTTCTTCACTGAGGATGGACCGGAGGAGAGGAACACGTTCGACCATTGTCTGGGTCTGCTGGTGAAGGCGAGCACACTTCTGCCCTCCGACAGAGACAGCAAGATGTGTCGTGACATAACCAACGGAGCTTATCCTGGATACGTGGCCAAACCGCGCCAGGACTGCAGGTAAAACTCACTGACCAGAGAGATAAGCTTGGAGAGGATGGTGTGGATGATTGTAGCTCAAGAAACCAAGAATATGTCACCCTAAAATCAAAAGAAAGAACTATTTTGCCTTAGGAATACGGATCTAATATTAAGATCAAAACTAAAAATAGATATATAAAATAGATATAGATCAGAATTTATTCTCTATATAAATTGTAATTTTTTATAATGTTATGTATTTTATGTATGTATTTTAAAATAATTTTAAAATAGCTTTAATTTAAAAAAAAAACTTTTATTTTCAGTTTTAATTTATTTTTTTTATTTTGTCATCTTATTAGTTTTTTGTTCTTTTTAAATATTACTATTTAGGTTTCATTTGTTTTTCAGTTTTAGTTTTTATTTATTCAGTATAGTAATTCTGCTGATTTTAGTGCTTCAAACATTAAAAACATTTTTAAATGTTACATTTCTTATAAAAAGTTTTTTATCTAATATTTACATTTTATTGTATTTCAGCTTTATTTCAGGTAACAAAATGTTTTTAATAGTTTTAGTATTAGTTAACGATAAGAACCCTGATATTGACTACTTTATGTATATATTTGTATATGCACATATACTTAAACATATACTAATATATAAGTGAACTAGTTGACCTCATGGAACCAAATGGCTCTTGGATGACTGGATAACTAGCCAACCATCGTAAACCAACCCTAGTTTAGTTTAGTTTAGTTTATTCTTTTATCTTTTATATCTAAGCAATGTTATATTTATTATTGCTTTTATATCAAAGAAATGAAATGTTATTATCATGTTGTTCAAATTGCATTTCCTGTATTTGTCAAACTAATTGCAATATGGCTGTCATGCAGCAAATTGTGCAGCTCAAATTTTTTATGTCATTAAGAGTTACCATTGTCATGATTATTATACTACAGTAGCTACATTCTGTTGACTCATTCCTCTAACAAACCCTCTTTCAGTTGTTTTCTCACTCTCACTGGTATTCTTTAATCAAGGCTTCCTCTTAAGAAAGCAAGAACACAACATGCAGTCGCACTGATGATCGTTTCCGCCCAAGCTCATTATTGTGTAATGATTTTTATCCTTGGATGCACTCACATTCTTAGAACCTTGAATAGTCTTTGCTAATTAAAATAACAACATCCCCACATTAAGAAACCCTGCTAAACTCTGGCAGCGAAACTGTCTGGTTTGGGAAAACTGGGGTTTGGTGTTGACAGTAAATGTTTAATTTGTAATTGCTTTGAAGTGTGGTTAAGTGTGCAGCGTTAGGATGAGGTGAATACTTATGGACTTGAATCCTTCATTTTTAACAATGTCTAGTTACACATCTTAAAAACAGTGCCAATGCCACACAAACACATCAACAGGCAACAGATGCTTTTTTCCCCCACATGGATGTTTATCTTCATGCAAACACCTTTTCCGTGCATTTATTCCAGTTCCATGTAGCATGTGGAACGAAGAGCCTTCCAAAGCGTTAGGGAGTTCAATTGCATTAAATTGCTAATTGCTCTCATATATATTGCATGAACGGCGCACCTTTTAGATTGAAATTCGGTCAATAGAGAGGATAAAGCTTTATAGCTCTTAAATTATAAAGGAAGACACTGCCAGAGATCCTGGAATATCACCACTTTAGTCATTCGTGATTAAGTCACATATTAAAATATTGCAGTAAGATTTTCATATCTCATTTCATGTCACATCATAGATAGACAAACAGATAGATAGATAGATAGATAGACAGACAGACAGATAGACAGATAGATAGATAGATAGATAGATAGATAGTAGGGATGCACAATATTATCGGACTGATATCAGAATCAGCCGATAATGGCTTTAAATATAAATATCCGGGGGGAAAAATGCATTGATTAATATATAGTTTATTTATAGTTATTTTAAAATCTTCAATGTACTGTCATTATGAAATAACTTTATTATTGTTTATTTAATTCTAACAAATAAGTTCTTGTTAAAAACTTACCAAAGTTCAAAATAATTATATATCGGTATCGGTATCGGCATCGGCTATCAGCCAAAATGAGTTGAAAATTAGATGATAGATAGATAGATAGATAGATAGATAGATAGTAGGGATGCACAATATTATCAGACTGATATCGGAATCGGCCGATAATGGCTTTAAATATAAATATCCAGGGGGAAAAATGCAGTGATTAATATATAGTTTATTTATAGTTATTTTCAAATCTTCAATGTACTGTCATTATAAAAGAACTTTATTATTGTTTATTTAATTCTTACAAATAAGTTCTTGTTAAAAACTTACCAAAGTTAAAAATAATTATATATCGGTATCGGCATCGGCTATCAGCCAAAATGAGTTGAAAATGAGATGATAGATAGATAGATAGATAGATAGATAGATAGATTTGTGTCCTGATCCCATTCTCTCTTCTCTCCCCAACCAATTTCCCTTTCCTGTTAATAATAAATTGGCACAAGCAGAAAAAGGATGAATCTCTCATGTGTTTTTTCCACATTTAGTTACAGTAGAGCCGAATCTGGTTGCAATGAGGTTAAAAATGGACATGTGCTAAATGTCAGCCGTGTTTGTTTATGTCTGTGGCGGCAGAATTGGGCAGCAATGAGAAGCCGTACAATCTAATCAGTGTCCTTCTCTCTCTTTCTCAGCGCCACCTCCACCTTCTGGATGGCTAACCCCAATAACAATCTCATCAACTGTGCCGCGGCCGGATCCGAGGTTAGTCTCGTTACCACAGCGATGCCTCTGATAAATGGTGCCGCTGTATCTCGGTGGCACCTTTCCACGTACCATGCTTATTTGTGATGGATCATACAGCGCCGTGTGTTGCTTAGCCACGGATATTTTTTATATACCGCTGTGAGCTCATTCCAAATGCGTTTTGTGTCATTAGGACGGCCATTAGCACTGTCTCCGTGCACATGTAATATGTGTGTGTGTGTGTGGTCTTGCAGGAAACAGGATTCTGGTTCATTTTCCACCACGTCCCCACCGGTCCATCAGAGGGCATGTATTCCCCCGGCAAGTCCGAACATACACCCATGGGGCTGTTCATTAATAACAGAGCTCATTCCAATTACAGGGTGAGTGTGAATGTGTGTGTGTGTGTGTGTCGTCGTGAATGAAAGTGGGCCACAGCACCGGAGATATAGGTGCCGCTAGCGCCGCTCTCTGTATACACCATTAAAAGGCCGATGCTTGAGATTGATGACCTTGTTGTTCAAGCGAACGTTTTCTCTCGCCCTCCCGCTGTAATCTATACCGTCATTCTCAGTGCGGCCACCGTAATTGAAAAATAATTCATTTTGAGCTGCTAGCTACTTAGCCCTTTAATAAAACATGATTTACGGGTTGGGGAATCCGAGGTTGGTGTCTTTGTGCTGAAATACAGTACGATCCTCAGTACAGTGCAACTTATCTTTATGATGCCAAGCTTTTACAGTGAGGAAAACTGAGATGTTTTTTTTTTCTTTTTTTGCATGTAAGCTGGTGTTTTTCTAAAGTTTTGTTTGGAAAAATGGATTGTTCAAAAGTTTGGAGCCAGTAAGATTTTTTTATGTTTTTGAAAAAGCCTCTCCTGCTCATCAAGGCTGATCAAAAATACAGTAAAATTGTGAAATTATATTCAGTTTTTTAAAATAACTGTTTTCTATTTGAATACATTTTCAAATGTAATTATTCCTGTGATTCAATACTGAATTTTCAGTATCATTACTCCAGTTTTCAGTGTCACATGATCCTTCAGAAATCAATCTAATATGCTGATTTGCTGCTCAAGAAACATTTATTATTATTATTATCAATGCTGAAAACAGTTGTGCTGCTTAATATTTTTGTAGAAAATTTTATATATTTTTTCAGGATTCTTTGATGAACTGGAACTTCAAAAGAACAGCATTCATTTTAAATATAATAATCTTTTGCAACATTATAAATATCTTTATTGTCACTTTTAAACAACTACATGTAAGCAATTGTGATTGTACTTCTTGAATTTTTCTTAGAATTTTTTTAGGATTTTTTTTTTTTTATAATAGAAAGTGAACAGAATTTATTTTGAAATAGAAAATTTAACTTTTGATCAATTTAACGCATCCTTGATAAATAAAAGTATTCACTTCTTTAAAATCTTACTGACCCCAGACTAATGACAGATAGTGTATAAGGGAAAGTGTGTATATTAAATTTTTGGGTTTTTATGCCTTCACTAGTTAATTTTAAATGGTTCTCCAGTGTAATGTAAAAGTACAAATATTACATATATTCTCTTAATTAGTATGAGCTTATAAAATATGCATAATACTTATAATAATAAAGAAGAGTGAACAAATTGCTGTATATCTCAGTATTTTAAATGGGGTGTAGCATGACACTCATGTTTGGTTTTGTTTATGTATTATGGTAGGCGGGGATGATCCTCGATCATGGAGTAAAGACGACTGAGGCTAATGCGAAGGACAAGAGACCCTACCTCTCCCTCATAGGAGCGAGGTTAGCATTTGCAGTTTCTCACCCCTGCTCCGAAACGGCAAAACTCACAAAAGTTTTTCAGAAGTAGTTCATATGACCAGTGCTCAGTCTTCTGAAGCCAATATACCTCAGCTTTGACAACCACAAAGATCATGCTGCTAGTTAACCAACACACCAGCTTAGTTAATAACATCACTGTGCTGGTACTCAGTGTGGCATTCTGGTCTTTTTAGTAGGGACAATAAACTATACGATTTAGCCAGTTAATTTGCATTCATGCCGAGCCTTTTTATTGGCAGGTACGGCCCACACCAGGACTCAGACCCCTTCAAACCAAGAGTTCCTGCTCTAGTCCACCATTTTGTGGCCTACAAGAACCAGGACCATGGTGCATGGCTAAGAGGAGGAGACGTTTGGCTGGACGATTGCCAGTAAGCATTTTATTTTATTTTATTTTATTTTATTTTATTTTATTTTATACAGATGGGACGTTTAATCTTAAATTTTCCACTGGCATTTATGTCATTATGTCATCTTCTTAACAGCATATTTTATTTATTTATTTATTTATTTTCATATACAGATGGGATGTTTAATCTTAAATTTTCCAATGGCATTTATGTCATTATGTCATCTTCTTAACATCATATTTTATTTTATTTTATTTATTTATTATTTTTTTCATATACAGATGGGACGTTTAAAGGTGCTGTATGTAGGTTTGACACCGAGTGGTTGAACTAGGTATTGCAGTCCAAATTCAAAATATTGGGAGGGTTTTTTCACCCGGCCCCTCCTCCTCAGACTTGACGCACACACAGGTTGCCAGATTGACGACACCAACAGGAACGAGCGCACTTGACGATGATTGAAATGAAATACGCTGTTTTTTCCGCCAACTGGCAACCCGGGGTGCCGAAATACAATTGGGTAAACTGGCAGTTTGGTTTCACAAACCAAAACATTCCGGCCCGGAACGCACATTTTCAAAGGAGAATAACTGACTGTAGCATTGTTTTTCAGATAAACAAGTATGTTAACTTAGCATGTTTCTTAAATATCTGCAAACATATTATGGCATTTTTATGCTTTAGTAGAGTCAAAAACTTACATACAGCACCTTTAATCTTAAATTTTCCACTGGCATTTATGTCATTATGTCATCTTCTTAACAGCATATTTTATTATTTTATTTTATTTTCATATACAGATGGGACGTTTAATCTTAAATTTTCTACTGGCATTTATGTCATGTCATCTTCTTAACAGCATATTTTATTTTATTTATTTTATTTTATTTTATTTTTTATATTATTATTATTTTTTATTTTATTTTAGTTTAGTTTCATATACAGATGGGACGTTTAATCTTAAATTTTCCACTGGCATTTATGTCATCTTCTTAACAGCATATTTTATTTTATTTCATTTCATTTCAATCCAATCCGAGCCAGATGGGACATTTAATCTTAAATTTTCCACTGGTATTTATGTCATTGTGTGACATTTATGTCATTATGGCATCTTCTTAGCATTTTATTTTATTTTATTATTTTATTTATCCAGATAAATGTTTACTATCTCGTTTAACATGAGCAGTTGTTTTTGTATGATGAATCTGAATTCATCATACATGCATCAAATATCACTTACAAAATGCAATGTCCACTGAAGGGCTTCATTAAAATTGATGATTTAAATGCACTACATTTTTTAAATGTGAGGGATTTAACATAGCTTCAGTAAAATAGCTACAGTCGGCAAATAAATTCTCATTCTTTTGTGCATCTCTGACAGATCTATGACTTCAGTCATGCTTGTGAGTCAGTTGTGATTGTCTGCACTCTTGAATCTGTTGAGCGTTATTGCGGTGTGCATGCGGTCAGCATTGACATGTTCTTAATTGCACGCAGGTTCGCTGATAATGGAATCGGCCTGACTCTCGCCAGGTAAACTCGCTAATCACCATTTTTCCTTTATTCTACTATTTTCTTTGCACACATTTCAGCAGTCTAAAAATGAAATGTGTTCATATTTGCTCAATTCATTGTAGTGCCTGTAATTGGAAAATGCCTTATATGGGCGACTTCTTAAGATGCAGGGAAGGAGTCAGGGCTTTTGTGGGAATGTGAAAGTAATTTATTGGTGAGAACGCAGCAGAGATGTGGTGTATATTTTCAAAAGGTGTGGATTCGCACCCTGTTTTTCTCACTTTGTGCTTCTGTGTTCGTGCGTAGTGGAGGAACCTTCCCGGATGATGATGGCTCCCGTCAGGAGGTGAAGAACTCTCTGTTCGTGGGAGAGAGCGGGAACAGAGGGATGCCCGACTTGAATGATCAATCCTGGGGTCCGGGCGGCCCCGATCATCTCGGCAGGTCTCTGCCCAGAGGAGTGTGAGTGTTGTGAACCCCAGTTTACCATTTATCTTGTTTTTGCACTTTAAAACACTATTTAAAAGTGTTGTGAATGCTTGGAAGTGTGCACTAAGGTTTCCAGGGAAACATTTGTTCATTTCGGTGGTTTTGCAAAGAGAAAAATCACCCCGGCCTTGGTTTTGACTTTGACCTCGTAATGCCCACATTTTGTCTTAAAGGTGCTGTAAGCCATTTTTGTAAAATGGCACTCAGAAAATATGCCCATTATCTGACAGATATCACTGAATTAGATGTCCTGAGATATCACAGCTGCCCTAGAACTGGTGAAATGAAAGATTTTGTTTTTTTTAATACTGAATGAAATAATTACAAATGGCAAAAGGGTGATAGTGCCTTCAGCAACTTTTGTTGCCCAAAGGCTTAAGTGAGTTGTCAATATGAATCTGCAATTGAAATCAATTTACTTCTGTTAATATATGTGCATATATGGCATTTATATGCATCAAGGTCCATCGGGAATTGATTGGATCATGAAGAGTGGGTTGAGATGGGTTGAAATATTCAAAATATCAAAAAAGGAATAATGTTTTCTCTGAAGTAAGATCATGAATATGTATAAAAGGAATAGTTCATCCAAAAAAAAAAAAAAGTACTCACCCTCAGGCCATCCAATATGTAAATGAGTTTGTTTCTTCATGGGAACAGATTTGGAGAAATGTAGCATTACATCACTTGCTCACCAATGGATGCTCTGCAGTGAATGGGTGCCGTCAGAATGAGAGTCCAAACAGCTGATAAAAACATCACAATAATCCACACCACTCCAGTCTGACAATTTGTGAAGTGAAAAGCTGTTTGTAAGAAACAAATGAATCATTAAGACGCATTTTTAATGGCTAAAGTACAAGTCCTTTATCCATAATATTGCTTTCGCAAGTTAAGTCATCTTGTCTGAATCAGGAGTGAAATATGTGCAGATCAAGAACTGATTACAAGCAAAAACAGTTCATAAACAAACATCTGGGTGGATTTTGATGTGAGAGGACAACAGGGGATGGACTTTTTCACTGGAGAAAGCATTATTATGGATTATGGACTGAAAGCCTTCTTAGCCGGAAGCAAAGTTTTAAAGTTAAAATGCCTTAATGATATATTTGTTTCTAACAAACATGCATTTTTTCCGCTTCACAATATGGACTTGTAATTGATGGACTGGAGTGGTGTGCATTACTTGTGGATTCTTGTGATGTTTTTATCAGCTGTTTGGACTCTCATTCTGACGGCACCCATTCACATCAGAGCATCCATTGGTGAGCAAGTGATGCAATGCTACCTTTCTCCAAATCTGTCCCCATAAAGAAACCAACTCATCTACATTTGGGATGGCCTGAGGGTGAGTACATTTTCATTTTTGGGTGATCTATTCCTTTCAGAAAGTAAAAAAGTACATTTGGACTTCATTTTGACTGAAGGTGAAGTATGTAGTTTCTGCAACACCTGCAATAAACTAAATAGCGGAAATAAATAGCTCCAAGCCATAATTAGTGGAATCCAGTCAGTAGAGGAAACTGCTGTAAAGATGAAATATGCTTAGTGAGTTCTGTTTACAATTGGGAAGAAATCAATCCAAAGTTTCAGCTTTTACTTTGTTTTCTCTGACGACTCAGAGCAATTTATCACTAGACTCCTTTATACCTGACAGGGCTTGAGGATTTCATGTGCTTGACTTTCATCTGTAATATTGCAGCTCAGCACCTGTCACTTTATATTCTTCTGCTCCTATAGAAAATGCTGGATTTTGTGTGGATGTGTACAAAAATTGAATGCTAAAACACTTGTACCACCATCTTTATTGCACCCATGAGAGTCAAACTGAAAAAAAATCTCTCTCTTTCTCTGAAAAGTGTCAGGTGCCTTCTTTAAACTTCAAGCATTATTCTTTTAGATTGTAGAAAAGAACTTTAATTTGAAAATTCAGCCGTCACTGTCATTTGAATTGTTCTCTTAAAAGAACAGCCATTTGTAGAAAGGATAAGCCACATTTGAAAGGTGAAGTGGCAGTAAATAGATTTGCAAAAACAATTGATTCAAACAAAATTGCAATTTTGTTCCAGTTGGGATTTATAATTCACTACACATTTATAAAGTCTGCACATGCAAATACACTTGTCATTTGCATTGACAATCTTGCATTTTAATGAATACATTTAGAAAAATGCATCTGTTTAACTTTTGCAAACTTATACTGGCTATTCAAAGATGCCATATAAAAAAAATCACCATCTGATAAGCAGTTGATGAGAAGAAAATAATGATAAAACAACTTACAGGGCGAAACTTATGGGTCCTTTGGGAAAATTTGTCACTCATAAGAAGGACTGTGAAATTTTAAGCTCAGACAGGGCAGCGGGCGTTTGAAATATTGAAAATTTAACCTCTAGTTGCTAGGCAACCATACATCCCATCCATCCCAAAATTAAAGAAAATGCAATTAACCCCAGACTCTTCATGCATGCCAAGTTTGGGGAGTTTGCACCGCTGGGAGAGAAAGTTATAGCTGTTAAAAATGAGGAAGAAAATAATAATAAGAAGAGCAGCTTCATTCCTTATGACTGTTTCCAAACCCACAAAGGTCATATGTTAGTCTTTTCTGTTTTGTTTAAATAATAATAATAATAATTATTATTATTATTATAACAGTAAAAATGTATCTCAGTCAAATTTTTTTTTTTTCAAGACAAGGCAAAAATGTATATTGTATGAATGCACAAGTCATTATTTTGTTATTCAATACAGGGGAATTACTGTTAACTAAAACTATTAAAAACATTTTTGTTCATTGAAATAAAGCTGAAACAAAATAAAATATAAATATTAGATGGAAAAACTAAACAACAATGAGAAAGTGTGCATTGGCAAATACCTGAAATAAGTTTAAGTTGAATCACTAAAATTACTAATTGGAAATAAGTATAAACTAAAACTAAAATGAGAATAAATGTAACCTAAAGAACAATTTTTTTTTTTTAATATATAAGCACATAGCAAAATTACTAAAAATTAAACTATAATTACAACTGATAATACAAAAATAAAAGCTAATTCAAAATATTATTATTATTGATAACAACAACAACAGTAAAAAGTCATCTCAAGATTTTGTTCTCAAGACAAGGCAAAACATAATATTATGAATGCATAAGTCAATATTTTTGTTATTCAGTTCACTGTTATTATCATTAAAGCAAAACTATTAAAATCTTTTTAATTGAGATAAAGCTGAAATAAATCATATATAAATATTAGATGAAAAACTAAACAAAATTAGAATGTTTTCAATAAAATAAGTTTAGGTTGTATCACTAAAATTACTATCTAAAGATAAAAATAAACTACAGCTTAACTAAAAAACTAAAATAAAAATTAATTAATCAAATTATTTAATTAATTACAAATGAAAAGTACATAACAAAATTATTTAAAAAAATGAGAGTAAAATTAAAATTAGAAGCTAATTCTAAATATTAGAAAACACTAGTATATAATACAAAAATACAAAAGAATTACCCTTTTTAATTTAGTGCATCTAGTTACTCAGAATATATAATTTCTGTTGATTTTGTAAATGTTTTTCTCAGTTCATATTTGCAACTATCCACTGTACTTTGCATTACATGGAGCAAATGTCTCATCCTGGATGTTATTTGATGAGTGGAAACCAGTTCATAATTGCCCTCTGCCCTGCAGGGACTTCCCCATTCGTGGAATGCAAATCTACGACGGACCAATCAACATCCAGAACTGCACTTTCCGCAAATTCATCGCTCTCGATGGGCGACACACCAGCGCTTTTTAATTTAGTGCATCTAGTTACTCAGAATATATAATTTCTGTTGATTTTGTAAATGTTTTTCTCAGTTCATATTTGCAACTATCCACTGTACTTTGCATTACATGGAGCAAATGTCTCATCCTGGATGTTATTTGATGAGTGGAAACCAGTTCACGGGTGTCATTGCCCTCTGCCCTGCAGGGACTTCCCCATTCGTGGAATGCAAATCTACGACGGACCAATCAACATCCAGAACTGCACTTTCCGCAAATTCATCGCTCTCGACGGGCGACACACCAGCGCTTTTGGCTTCCGCCTGAACAACTCGTGGCAGAGCTGCCCGAACAACAACGTCACCGACATCACCTTCGATGACGTGCCGGTAATCAAGCGATGTCCGGTATCATCCAGATCTTTGTGACCCCTGTGACAAAATATATGTCAGCAGCACTCATTGCGCTGTGAGCTATTCCAGGAACTCTAATTGATTTTGTGCAGGTTGTCAAAGAGGATTATAACATTTTAGAGCGTCTTCTCACTGACAGAGGTTGTCCTTCCTCTGGTTATAATCACCTCTCTCCCACCCTCCTGTCACTTCCAATAGTCAGATATGAGGCTTCATTGGCTGCAAGGTCTAAAGCACAGATCTGATTGTGTGGCCGTACATACTGTACGCCAGAAGAAATATTTTGAATATTGTTTATGATGATATATTTGGTCAAGTATATACTGTAAACTTGCTATAAGTGGACAGCATTGCTTTAAGATATTTCTATGTGAAAGCAACAAAGAAACATGTTGTCATGCATCCCGAACAAGTCAAGGCAGAGAACTAATATAAATGTAACAAATTGGAATGTTTCTGTTTATGGTTGCCGAGCAACATTGCAGCTTGCCACAGTAATATAGAATTTAACAAACGTGAACACACAGATGTGAGAATTAGTAACAGCTTTACACATGGCTCATCCAATCAGAATTTAGAGTCATAAATATTAACATTTTTGCTTTATAGTGTTTAATTAACCAGAATATCCAAAAATAAGCATGACTAAATGGCTATTTAATTTAATCTAATGTTCACAATTTTGGGGTCAGTTTTTTTTTAAAGAAATTAATACTTTTAATCAGCAAGGATGCATTAAATTGATCAGAAGTGACAGTGAAGACTTATGTTTTAAAAGATTTCTATATTAAATAAATACTAAAAATCTTTCTGTTTATCAAAGAATTCTGACAAAATGTTGTATATTTCTTGAGTAGCAAATCAGCATATTAGAATGATTTCTGAAGGATCATGTTACTCTGAAGATTGGAGTAATTATGCTGAAAATACAGCTTTGATCACAGGAATAAATTATATTTTAAAATATATTACAACACCATTCAGTCATTTTAAATTGTAATTGTAATTTTCTTTCTTTTTTTTTTCTTTTCTTTTTTTGCTGTATTTTTGATTAAATAAATGCAGCTTTGGTTAGCATAAGAGACTTTCAAAATCATTAACAAAATCGTACTGACCCCAAAGTTTTAAATGGTACAGCAAGTGTGAATATATAAATAGATCATGCAAAATATTCTCAATTAAGATGTTTAAATGTAGGTTAGCTATGTGTCCGATTTAGAACCAAATTTGTTGGTCCAAATCAGATGCCAAATCAGTTTTCAGATTTTATAACAAAAATTGTTTTCAGAGAATACAAGCAAGTCATTTCTAAACAATTTCCTAATTTCCCAAGTTTACCATTCCCTTGTCTCCAATCGTGGCTCTAGATTACTTCACGCGTGTTCTTTGGTGAACCGGGCCCCTGGTTCAGCAAGATGGAGATGGATGGTGACAAGACAACCATTTTCCACGACATCGACGGCTCGGTGAGCGAATACCCGGGTGCTTTCCTGGTCAAAGAGGACAACTGGCTCCTGAGACACCCTGATTGCATTGACATCCCCGACTGGAGAGCTGCCATCTGCAGCGGGCACTACGCCCAGGTGAGTCTGACCCACACCCTCCTGTTACTCCCAAAACATTCCCATGTATGTTATATATAACATTTTTGTCCCCCTCACTTCTGAAATGATGGCTACGCCCCTGCATGTCTGGTGCCAGCGGCCTTCATTCGGCCAGTCGGGACACAAGCATCTACACCAAGCGGCAACCTCCCGCTCTCTCTCGTGAAGCCAACACGGAAGTGACTTAAACTGTAATTCGTCAACTGGCCGCTAGAGGTTGGCTGCAAAAGGGAGTCAATCCCATAGACTCCCCATGTTAAAATACCCAACTTTACAGCAGAAAAAAACATGTTTATAACCTGGTACAAAAAATGATTTTGGTCTATATAGCTAATTTTGCCCTTCATGACAACTGTGAGGGGGGTGAATTTTTTTGTAACTCATCCGTTTAAATTATATTAAGCCTTAAATATGATGCGATTTCAAGTTTTCCTTTC